AGGGCACCATTACAGACGTCAACAACCGCGCACAAAAGGCTTCAGATTCTATACAGTATTCTAATGCATTCATAATTATTTGAAAAAGTAGTATGTTTTAGTTTACAAATAATGCAGTAGAATAACAAATTGAAAGCATATACGTGAGTTCCACATTTCAGCTCCAAAGGAGCTGCGCTGACAAGCTTTTTTCATTTATTTCGAAGTTATAATAATCACTTAGCTCTCCTTTTATATTCGAACTCGCATCAGGCAAATCATGAAAGAGTAGGTATTCTGAGAAAAAACACCAGATGGAGTTTTAACAAACGACACTATTTACTCCATTTTGAAGTTACTTTGGTGAAGAAAGAAATTAGTCTAAACACTATGCTTCTCGCTCTTTGTGTTTTGTATGTTCTGACTTCTTCATCGCTTGCGATCGATCTTGGAGAAACTTTTACTGATGTTGATAATGTAAACAGCTTTCCATTCCTTCAATTTCAAAATCTATTTGCCGACGTTAATACTTTGAAACAACAAATGGCCTATTTGGTAAGTTCAAATGCATTATTACAAAACACAGCTGATCAATAGTAGCAACACCATTAGTCAGTTAGAAAATAAAATAGTTGCAATGGAAAGTACAAATGCAAACCTACAGTCGAACCTCGAGGCCACACAAAACACAGTCAATACACAACAAACTCAGCTGATGAACCACACGAGTATCATCAAACTACTGGAAGAGACAAATGGCGTATTACGGAGCATAGTCAGCACACTCCAAATGCAACTCATTAACAGTACCAACACCATTAAACTAATGCAATCTCAAGTAGATGACTCGAAAAGTAAAATTGTCACGTCACAAACTAGGATCGCCGTTGCAGAAGGTAAAATCGTGACATTAGAAAAGGAAGTCGCTACATCGGAAAGTAAAATTGCTATATCAGAAGGTAAGATTACCGCACTGGAAAGTCAAGTTGCTACACCTACTTTGCTGTGGACCGGCCAGACAACAGGAGATCATAGTGTAGTAAGTAGTTTGCCACCAAGTGTTCGGAGCAGCTATGCTGCTGCAACTAATAATACTAATTATTACACAACAACAATCTCTAGTGGTGGTACCTATCTTGTTGTTGCTCACGGACGACTCGCTGATTGGCACTACAGAAAAGACAATTGGTGGTCAATGAGAGTTTACAATAAGAAAAGAAGCACAACATTATTCACGTCTTTCGGTACACATAGACATTCATATGAGGGAGGTAATACAATGGATGCTTCAACTAGCGGGTTTTGGATTGGTAAACTGAATGAAGGCGATGTTTTAGAGCAACAATATCATCTGGAGGGTCCAAGCACAGAAGATGTCATCTTTTTCCAAGATCAACATGGTTCATCAGCTATTTATGCAATAAGGATTGGAAAGTGAAAGACGGATGAGTTAGGGCTTTTTGTTCAATGTAGGAGGAAAGTGTGTTCTTCGGTGATTTGATAAAGGCAAAAATAAATAATGAAAGCTTTTCAAAAACTCTGCTAGTATGTTAATGAAGGGTGACATTAACTCACAGTTTCACTCATGAAAAAAGTCTGAAGGGTGGGGTGTGAGTGTGGGTGTAGGTTTGGGGGTAGCGTGGGGGTGGATGTTTCTTCCTGAGGCGTACACCCACACCCCATCAGAGATGTCCATCGTGGCTGAGAATTAGCCGCTGCCGCACCGCCGTCGTTTAAAAAACATGGTGCCACGCTGCTACTGCGCCGCGTTTGTCAGAAAAACGAAAGCTACCGCACCGCTGCCGCACCGCGTCCACATTGAAATGTAACGCGCCGCTGCCGCGCCGCCGTCGCACCACTGCCGCGACAGTACAAAAAATACAGTCTAGAAAATGTGTTCGTCTCTAAAATAAAAAAAATATGTATTATAAAGTTAATGAATTACTGCGCTAAATGCAAGGGTGAAAAACAGATCCCGATAGACTCTATGGATCTTCCAGATTTCTAAAGAATATTAATAGTGTATAATAAAATTGTCTGACTCTTCAAAAATCGATCAGAATCCACTTAATAAATATTCATCATGAGGAAAACTACAAAGTATAAAAACAAATTTATTTTATTATTCAAAGATGTTAAGTAATGAGCGATGCAAAAGTTTTTACACAAATCTCAAATCCTGTTAGACCATATTACCAACTTCTGAATCAATCAATTTTTTTTTGTTAGAAAGAGCAAAGTCTGAACTACAAGTTTTGTATCAGACATATTTTTCCAGAACGAATCTGAGACGGAGGAAAAGCCAAAAAGCAAATACCTCTAAAAAGTTCTTGCAACGCCTTTTGCAACTTGAAAAGTCTGTATTTCTCAATTATTTTAAGCTACATAGGTCAAATCTGAAGAGAACATACATCGAAATGTAGCACATTAAAAACTCTATAATATCAGCTTCGAGACACATTTTTGGATCCATTCTTGAATCTTTAATCAAACAAGTTTGAAACACGAAATTTTTGCAAAATTGAGCCTTTTCAAGAACTATCAGTTTACAAAAATATCAGCAATCGTCTCCAGAAATCATGCATGAACGGAATTCTTTTCGCGTTATTTGGTCGAAATATATCTAATCGTAGAAGTTTAGCAGAAAAAAATATATTCAAAAAATATTTTTTATCGCTGTAAAACGATCAAGTAGTGAGAACGACCAAATGACTCAGTCTCTTTCAGAAAAAGCTATTTGTTGATACAAAAACTAGGAATAGATTTAACTTCCAATCAAGGGGGGAAAAGCGAGACTTCCGTACTTCCCATACTTCATCGTACTCCCTTGTACTCACTTCGTACTCCCTTTATACTCCCTTCGTACTCCCCTGGTACTCCCTTCATACTCCCCTCGTACGTCCTTCGTACTCCCCTCATACTCCCTTGTACTTCCTTGTATTCCCCTAGTACTCCCTCGTACTCTCCTATACTATTCTGTTTTCTTGCAGTATTTTGCTAATATAGTATTAAAGGTTCGTGTCTACTAGTTAAGAAAATTTCAACTAACAATAAATCTGATAAGAGCGATCGAAAAATATACGTAAATAAAGTGCAATAACTGACGTTAATACCAAAAATTGTTTTATTACCAAGGGGGGAAAAAGCGAGACTCCCGTACTCCCTTCGTGCTTCCCTCGTACTCCTCTCGTACTCCCCTTGTACTTCCATGTACTCCCTCGTACTACCCTTGTACTCCCTTGTACTTTCTTGTATTCATCGTGTACTCCCCTTGTACTCCCTCGTACTCCCCTTATACTCGCATGTACTCCAAGGGGAAAAAAGCGAAACTTCAGGAGTGCGTAGTTCACTCGCACTTCACCTGTACTTCAGCTATGTTCCACCTGTACTCCACTGTACTTTAGCTAGGGAGGGCACATACCAGTACGGTATTGAGGTATTGGTATTGACTAGAACCCCAAAATTGCAGATCATAAGTTCAGATCCTTTGTGTGGAAGATCTGATTCAACGGATCAGTTCTACAAACTCATTGAATATTCTTCACAATCTATTTTAAACAGCTCCCGACAGCTTTTTCCCCCGTATCTGGGGATGATTCCTAGAACTTGTTGGATCCTACCTGAGGGTGTCATCTAGAACTTGTTGGGCTCTAACTCGGGATGTTATATAAAACTTCTTAGACTCTATCTAAGAATGTTATCTAAAACATGTTGGGATCTACCTGAGGGTGGTACCTAAAACTTTTTGGGTCGTACTTAGGGTGGGTGTGGGGTGTGGGTGGGTGTGGGTGGGTGTGGGTGTGGGTGTGGGTATGCGTGTATGTGCCGTGCGGGCGAGTATTTGTGAATAGATGTAATCTTTGCTTATAGCTGCACCTAAAGCCATACCCACACCCACCCATCCACACATCCACACGTCACCCGCACCCACGCTCCAGCCACACCCACACCACTCGTACAGTTTGCCAGATTTAATTTTATAGTTGGATGTGAGTGAATCTGTACGTGTAACGGAGCATCTATACCCATATCCGGCCTCAAACTTTCACATAATTTTCTACACATTTTCGAAGCTTAGTGCATTTTGGAAGGTGACGATTGAATTCAATTGAAGTTTCAAACCTAAATGATGTATTTTGTCCTGACAGTCACATCAATAGAACCAAGCTTCTAACTTGACCTATAGAGTGAATATCACCATTGTTCAAGCAGTTCTGTTTAAATTAATTCCAACAAGCCATTTGACAAAGAAAGTCGTTTCCAACAAAAAAACAAAAAGCATTCAAAATTCTCAGAGACACACTATTCAGAAAAAAAAGTAAGTTTTTCAGCATTTAGAGAGTAATCATACAATTTATTTTCAAGAACATTCTATTATAGAGCAAAGAATTCTCTATGAAATGAGACATCTCTGGATTCACTGTCATTCTTTACATAATTTTCTAATACAAAAAAATTTTAGTCTATTGACAAAAAAATTAGATTGATTTTCAGAATACCGCATCACAAAGAACAGTGAAACTTTGAGTATGATTTCTATGACGGAAAATAGTTGATATTCATTAATGTGGTCTATCTCATATTCTAAATAATACGCAATAATAGGACCAAGAAAAAGAATTGGAAATTGAGACACTTCGATAAACCAATTTTGAAAGTTCATAGATGTTATTGGATAATCGTTTTTGACCAATTCGAACCATTTATAGAAAAATGCAAATAGAACATAAATACATATCACCATCATTTGTTTTATCAATAAAACAAGTCCGAATAAATAAGGTTCTTCTGGTTGATGTAACCATATTCGAATATAGTTTGTAATAACACAAATGAATCTGCGAAAGTAAGAAGAACGACAAAAACAAACCAAAAAAAAAGAAAACCAAATAATATGAACATGAATAATAAGAAAATCAGTCAGAAATGCAGCGATAGCGTGACTAAGTAGCCACGGTCGCTTCTTGAGAATACATGATATTTGGATGTTGTCTGTTGAGAACAATCGAACATTTGATGATAAAAAAGTTTCATTTGACAGCAACATTGATACAATGTATCGATGAAAATAAACGAGACAAGTAATTATATATGTCGAATAAAATGATATACGAGTCCTTTTTTTGTTTTATTCAATGATCAATGTCATTTAAAGAAAAAAAAACGATGACAATTCTATATATATATATGATAAACATATATTTCGTCGGCCGTTGGCTATGCTCAATATTACTTTCTCTCTTTCTCTATAGCTGGGCGTAAACAAACAAAAGACAAATAATTAATTGACAAGTTCATTCACATTTAATTCGCAATAATAGAATAGAATTTTCTAAAAGAACAATGACCTGCTTTTTTCTTTTAGTATTGGATCTATTTTTGGTCTATGTCCGTGATATTACAATAGTTTTCTTTTGAATCAAATTAATCAAAAGTCAATTGTTTATATGAACATGTATACCAGAGACCGTCATAGGGCAGTTTTTTTATGTCCTGTCCTGCCCTGCGCCCTGTTCTTGCCCTGCCCTGTCCTAATGGTGATTCATAATATTTTTTTCTGTCCTGCCCCGCCCTGAGGGCAGGGCAGGGCGGTCCTGAACTTGGAAATCCAGCTTAAATTAGGAAATATCTGATAGCTTTAAAAAACCTCGTGATGGTAAAGTTTTAATCATTTGTTTAATTTGATCCGATTGAAAGTTATTTGTATCGATGAAGTTGGAGATGGTGTGAAAGTAGGGATCTCAATATGTGTCTACCTTTCATTTAGTTTATGCGTAAATTAAGTGGTAAGTAATTTATATTTATTGTAAATATAAATTATTTCGTTACAAAGTTTATATTACAAATCAATATAAATTCTAATAATTTACAACGATTTGTAAATATAAATTTTGCAACAAAATAATTTACATTTATAATAAATATAAATTTCTTGCAATTCATATTTATCATAAGGTAAACGGTAGATGACGCCCCAAAGTAAAAGTGATTTATTATGATAATAATGATATTGTTTCGGAGTTCAGTGCTGGAAAATATTTATCAACATGTTGTTTAAAACATTTTTCACCCTCATCGTATTGTAAACTTGATTACTAATATCGGTTTCAAAATAAAAAAAGGGTGAGTATTTTTAGAACAACTTTTGATAGGAACAAGATAGGGAGCTGCGGTTCTCACCGTTGGAAAGAGGCGATGAAACTGCATCGATTCGTATATTTCAGATTTTTTCTGACAAGTATTTTAAAGGTCTTCCCAAGAAGTTTTTTAAAAACTCAAAGATTTTAGACGTAGAAGAAATTGATTTTTTATTAAAAACTAAGGAAAAAAAGGATTTTTTCGTTAAAAATTGACCGACAACACACAGTAACGTGTTCATAACTCATGATTAGCTAAAGATAATAACCTCGGGCTTGCATAGCTGATAGGTCTTTAGTTAGTGATTCTAGTGCCCTCCTGAAAATTAAAAGTCCATAATATTTACATTATATAACGCTTTGTCTTTTGAAAACTTGTCGAAGAACCCTTAAAATACTTGTCAGAAAAAAATCTGAAATATATGAATCGATGCAGTTTCATCGCCTCTTTCCAACGGTGAGAACCGAAGCTCCCTATCTTGTTCCTATCAAAAGTTATTCTAAAAATATTCACCCTTTTTTTATTTTGAAACCGATATTAGTACATTTGAAACCACTATGAAATTCAGGAATTCTTTCTAACTGATGATTACTTAATTATACTGGATAACCAAATACTCTTCACCATCTAACAGCAGGTGAAGATCCGTTCTTTATTATTTGATATTTCGATCTTTCAGTCAGTAATCGATATTTAATCGTTGCAGTATCGAATGAACTCATAATATATGACGGCAGATTAAAATATCGAAGATAGAAAACTCAATGAAATAATTGAAACAAGAAAATTTAACTAAAAAATTTGAAGAAACTGGGACATTGGCATGTTTTTAAACTTTTATATGAAGTATGCTGTACAAAACTACGTACATTTATGAAACTATTTGGAAGAGGAATATATGAATATACTGAACAAAAAAACTGAATTTTTCTCTTATATAATTCTGTATCATTGTGAAATGCTTTTTCTTTTCTCTTCAAATCATCTGTATGTTTCTATGCGAAATATAAATGGATTATATGATATCCAATATAATAATAAAAAATTGTTCCAACTGGGTACAATGCCAAAAGTTATGATAGTCAGTTTATAGCGATATCAATCACGATTGCTCATAATATCAACATATCAAGATTATTTACTAGAAAATCTGTTTCAAATAACTGTCTCGAGAAAAAAGAATAACAGGGCAGAAATATTTTGCCCTGCCATGCCCTGGCACGCCCTGCAGGGCAGGGCGAAAAATAAAAAAAACTTGTCCTGCCCTGCCTTTAGAGCAGGACAGGGCAGGGCAGGACACCAGGGCCGCCCTGCCCTGTGACGGTCTCTGATGTTTACTATCAAAATAAATGTTGATTTTCTTTTAATAAAAATACCAAATTCATATAAATCATCTATCACTTGAAGTAGTCCATGTATCAACTGAAATAGTCTAGATGATGAATTCTGGAAGTTTTTCCAGCTTCTTTAGGTTCATAAATATCAATTAGTTACTATGTTGTATCACCAGACAATGTTTATTTAATAATAATGAAGTGGTCGATACAAATTTCTTGTTTTCTTTTCTTATACATTCAAAATAAAATTTCATTCATTTTGAGTTAGTAGTATCCTGTCATAAGTAATGCTGCAAGGTTTATGGGTGTGGATGTGCGTGTGGGTGTCTGTGGCTGGTGTGGGTGAGAGTATTCTATTCTCTCTTCTACCCACACACCCACTCCCACACCCAGTAAAGTAAAGTTAGTGTACTTTACTTTACTCGGTAAAGTAAAGGAGATCTACTTTATCCGAAAAGTAAAGTAAAGTAAAGTAAAATGAAGTATCTCTGACTTTACCGAACAAGTAAGATGTAATAAAATGAGATAAAGTAAAGTATATAATTGATGTTTATTGATTTATTAGTTTATTATCAGACATTAATCACATTTTAATACATCAAAAGTTGTGTCGAATTACGGGTGTGGGTGTGTGGTGTGGGTGTGGGTGTGGGTGTGGTTGTGGGTGTGGGGTGTGAGGATGTGGGCGTGTGGGTGTGAGGTGTGAGGATGTGGGCGTGTGGGTGTATACAGAGATAATCCAAACCTACATCGACACCGACATCCAGGCACACGCACACCTCACACCCCACACCCACCCACACCCTCATATATAGTTTTTTAGAGAATTTCAAGTGCTATCTTTTGATAAAAAAAGATGCTTTAATCTAAAGGATAATATAGGAGAAATTTTGAAAATACTAACAGTGTAATTCTTTTTACGCCACCCGTTATATTCACGTTAATGTACAGCGTTTACAACACTTCGATCATTACTATCATTATATGCATATCCAGTAAGATATTGATTTGTATTTATTTGTTTATCTAATAAATATTTTCAAATTTCTATTTTAATTATTAAGGCGTGATGAACATTCACGAAAACTATGTTATCCAGTAATTGGATTAAAATTAGAAGAATCAGTTGAACGTCTTCAAATCACTTATCGTTTAACAACAAATGTGAAAATTTGGTTTAATATTATTTTCTACTCCATTATTTATTGTTGAATCACGTCAAGATATTCTTGAAAGTCAATAGTTTGTTGAAATACGTAAAGAATATATATATCGTTGGTTTACAAATGTCAATGGGAAAAAAAGACTTAGCAAAAGATGATGAAAAACGTTCATATGAATTAGCTGCTTAGTTTGCTCATTTACAATTGCAATCAATACATAAAATCATGACATTAAAATCTTCATTCAATCAAGTATTTAAATTAAAAAATTATAGAACTGTAACAAGCTTTGCCAAATGTTTATTGGAATTGGAATCAGCACCTGATATTGTTCAGCAGATTTTTTTTTGTTTTACTCTTAATATTTCATTTTCAAACCAAACATTTATTTATTTCTCGACTTTAAGTTTGAAAAGTTTCAAAATGAACCAAAAAAAAAGAAAGAAAACATATCTTTAATGCACTCAAGATATATACGAAATCTGTTGATCAAAATTTTTTATGTGTTTTTTGATTTATTTGAAAACAATTTAGTTTATTCTTTGTTAAATGAAACATAAGACGAACAAAAAGATGAAAATTTTATTTTTATTATTTTGTTTAGACACGAAAAGTATCAAGTGTTAGTGAGAAAAGTCCAATCGATGAACATCCATTAAATTATGATGAATATAGTAGTCCATTTGATATTTGTACTGCATCCTACATACCAATTGATCGGTATAAAATTTAAAAAAGAAATTGAATTTAATTTAAACTTACCTTTAATTCTTGTTTAGTGGAAATCCATTAGTGAAATGTTCATTATTCAGTGCAACCTTTTTACCGAAATTTAAAGGACAATATGTCGTGTTACAAAAACAACTGAAATTGGAAAAAAATCTCTTGATCTTAGAATTTCACTGAGTCAATTTTATTAGAATAAGAAAGAAAAGAACTGTTTTGTTAATTCTATTTAATTATTATTAACTTTTAATAGATATATTTATCATTTTTAAAATATTAACTTATGATTAGGACGTTTTTCTTTTATTTCAAGATTATTCAAAATTCAACTGAAACTGTTTAATCATCAGAAAATGAATCGAAATGCTTCGTTTTTTTTGTCATATAAAAATGTAAATGTTAGAATTTTTTTTTAAAGAAAAATTATAATACAAATCTTCTTTAGTTAACATTTTTATAAAGAAATCCGTTTCTAAAACGAAAATTTAAAATCAATACATTTGTTTGAAATAAATTCACTTCAATAGACATTGAAATTCTATAATAGTATACAAAAATAAATAATCTCAATTTATAAAACGACATCAATGTAACTGAGTACTTTATAATTGTTTAAGAAATTTTATCGACATGATTTCATTTGATATTCAACCTTTGCAATATCTCGATTGACTAACTCAATTGGTAACCTACACGCATCTATTGAATATTCATACCACCAGCCGTTTCTGGATCAAGTTTACTAAACATATTGAAATTCAAAATAATTGATTCAATTTACAATAAACGATTGTTCACACCAAGAAAAAAAAAAGAATTTTGATTCATTATCAGACTGTCGAAAGTGTTGTTAACAACATTGATATACGTTATATTCACTAATGATAATCTAGCTATACAGACATTACACTTTATAATTAAGTTATTAATAAGACTAAGAGATAATTAAATATCTAAAGATATACTTTTTTTTAAATAGATTTCTTCAATATTTAAATAAAAATAAAAATGAACAATGAGAAATAAATTTTCATTCTAAAAACTAAAATGGAAGATAATAATGATGATGATTTTCTATTCAATGATCTATTTCCAATTGAAAAAATCTCCGTTGATTTCGATCGGCTTTTTTCCGGTTTCTCAATTACAGTTTCAAAATAAAAACAAAACAGAACCTATTCTAAAAACAAATTTTCTTAAATTAAAATCTTTTGTAGATAATCATCATGGTGATGAAAATCTTGATTCTACTACAGAAAAACATGGTCTTAATGGAACATTTCCAAGAACTTTTATAATTACAACAATGAAACGAGAAACAACACCATCAAGAAGATGTGTTATTGAAAAACAAATTCACTAATCATCAAATCAAAATGAAAATAACAAAACTGAAACAATACAAGTAAAATATGTGGAGTAAACATCATACAACAGTAAAACAAGATGGCAAAAATAATTCGAGAATATGTAAATGCAACAATAGATGAATTAGATCAAATTGATTCACCATCGAATGATAATAATGATCAACCAATTATTGACAAGAAGAGACATTCAGATTTTTTTTAAATTTTTTTCGTAAATAGAAGTTTTTTTGTTCAAATGATCTGCTAAAAATAAACGAAAGAAAATATTATTCGAGTTTGTTTTTTTTTATTGTGAAAACAAAAACATCTAGTTGTCTCACTATTTTTTACTTAATATATTTTATTTTTTACTTAATATATTTTATTTTTTACTTAATATATTTTATTTTTTCCGCTTGCTCAAAACTGAGAGTGTGAGTGTGGGTTGATGAAGAGAAGGTTGACATCCACACCCTACAACATTATTTAACTAATACATGAATTAGTAAAATTTTTCGAGCATCTTGATGATCAACATCGATCGACAAACATCGTGTGATAGAAATTACCGTGAGGCTTTTTTCTACACTTTACGAACATGTTTTACACTTTTGCAATAGAAATATTCGTATGAAATATACAGTGAGAGTGATGTAGAATCAATTACAGTGATATTAATACAAATGTATTGATCATATTTTTCTAGTAATGAATATTAACATTTGTCAAGTTATGCTTGTGTCTAATGATGAAGTTGGAATCAATTGTTATATAACAAAACAAAATATGTCTATGTACATATGCATTTCGACTTGCGAGAGCATTTGTTCCAAGTGTCAAATCAATTTTCGATCGAGATTATGTTTATTTGATAAATACTATTGAGTAACAGACAGGTGGAGAATGATTTGATTTTTGAATCTTTATTCTTTTGATATCGAACTTTTACGGAGTTTTTCAACAAACAGTTATGACCCTTACCAAGTCAAGTTAGACTTTCAAGTCCAGACTTTGCATGAATAAAGTTCTTAATGAAATTATTTGATTGTACAAATTTTTGCTTTTTTTGTATTTCATTTTTAGAAATATAAATATATGCGCACACTTTTTCTTTTATCAATGAGAGAATTTCGAATATTCGACATTTTAAAGCGCAAGACCTCATATGACTTGAGGAAAAAAATAGTTTTTTATTCAAAAAACTCTGTAAAACTTTCATATTTCAAGAAATAAAGGCTCGGAAAACTAAGCCATTCTAGCTTTTTTTTATTACTCACTAGTGTTCTTCAAATGAACGTTGTTTCGGTCGAAAAACAATTTGACACCTAAAGAAGTTTCCTTGTACGCTATCGAATCGTTAATATGTCTGTTTTCTAGACTGCATTAATTTTTAAACAAATTCTCTTTGTGATATGAGTCTTTCAAGATATAGACCCATATCAATGAATAGTATATACAACATGTAGTTTTTGGAAACTAATCTAATTGAGTTGTCTACATCTGCTTGATAGATTACGAGAAAATGGTCCCAAACGATCAAAAGATGAAACTTCATTGTCGAGGTTCAGCCTGGAAACTTTGCTTACATGAAGGCTTTAGAAAGACTAGCTTATGCACAAAATTTTAGAACTCAAGCGATTTTTTATTGATTTCGGTTAAAACATGCATATTTTAGCAGTAGCATGCATAAGCTAACCTCACTGAGATCTTCATCTAGGCAGAGTTTTTAGACTGAAACTCAGCAAGAAGACTTAATCGGAAAAGTGAGTTTATACAGAGAAGAATTCATTAGAAAGTCAATATATCGGTCAAATTATAAAGTTAGCACGGCTTTTTTGAGGCCTGTGCTAATCTATAAATCTCATATTACTGGGCAAAATATGGGCTCAAAAAGCTTTTAATCATCTCAAGACCTTCTCTTGTCAATCAAAACCTAAATCCTTTTAAGATTTTCATTAGAATATTATGTAGTGTCGATATACAAAAAAATCATTGACATCGGACGGAGACATTTTGAGTAGATCCGTTCGTTCGACATTGAAAGTTTATCTCTTCAACTTAGTTTTCTTTACATTTCAATTGAATTAAGCCAAAAGTAAGAATACCAATTAAAAATAAACTAACTACTGCAATAAAATTAAAAATTATGGATTTTTTCATTTTAATATAATAGAAATATATAACACAACATATAGTAAATCAAATATTCAATTATATGATATATGAAAATATATGAAATAAAAAAGAAAAAGAAAAACATAAGAACTTAATTCTTTTCTTCTTTCGATTTGATTTCATTTGATTTACTATATGTTGTGTTATATACGTATTTCTATTAACTAATGCAATAATAACAATTTTTAATATATATGTAGAAACTTACGATTTTCGAGTACGGTTTCCGTATATCTATTCACAGTGACTTAATTGGTAATCATCATATTCATCAATATGATAAACACATTTACCATGTATACAATAACATTGTGAAACACTTTCATGCTCGGTAACACTTGCTTTAAAGAAAAAGAGTATTCACACTATTTTATTATTCTCTTAATTTTCATACACGTACCTCCATTATATGTTCAACTATGTTCTTGAATTGTTGTATTCAATGAACATAAAGATTCGTATTGGTTTAATTGTATTAAAACATAGAAATGCGAAAAATTAGCTATTGCATATCAATTTAATATTAAAAAAAAACGAACAAAATTAAATATTTTCTTTCACTGTTCTACTAATTTTTTGTTCATCTGAATCTGATTGAATATGAAGTTAATAGATGATAAGTGTAGATATTCCAAGTTCAAATTTTTCAATGGTATATAATGAACGGTTTTCATGATTAATAAACTAGAAATGATTTGCAAATGTATCTGATGAAAATGTGAACTTTGATAAAAATCAATTGAATGCATTACATCTGTATCAATTAATATTGTACAATTTTTACCATTCATATAAGCTGATACAATAGTAACAATACTTTCATTAGGATTCTCAATAACTTCATGTTCATAATTAATAAAATAAAGTATTCCAACCATATGATTAACAGTAGCAATTTTTAATTGAATTGCATAATGTTCATCATTTTTTAAAACCCATATACAATCATTAATAAGATTAGTTACATAAAGATTTTGACCAATCCAATGGAACATAGGATTATTTGTATCAATAAAAATAAAACAAGCATTATGTTAATCTTCCATGAATACACCATAATTTGATGCCTTTTTTAAATGGGATTTCGACAAAGATGACGAATTTCATGTAGTTCAACTATTAGAAGATCGATTGTTTGATCTGCATAAAAATTGAGAGTGTGGGCGTTTGTACTTCATCGTCACCCATACCCACACTCCAAAAATGTCTAGCTCTTGAAAGTTTCAGATCTTGAAGAGACTTTGTTCAGAACTTCTGGGGTTTTTTTTAATAGAAGCTGGTGCAGTTGAATTCTATACATGTGAAACGCTGAAAATCAAAATTCGAAAGCATGAGTTTTTTTTTTCGAAAACCTGATGCAACCTAGAAAAAAAATCGATAGTTTAGTCAAATCTTTTTGGAATTTTTGTTATTAGAACACTATATAGTATCTATAAGAATAACTCATTTAAGTCAAAAAGGGGAAAGCTGTCGAGTTTTCTCTCTAAGAATTTGAATAATATGTAGTCATTTTCTATTAAAACAAAAAATTCTAAGAGACTATTCGCTCTATTCATCTGCCAAATTATAGCTAGCGATCTAAAGGGTCAAGACAGAGGTTGAAGTTTTTGCGTAGTCTGATCTGTCATATAATATTCGATTTGATTAACAGTTCATGTCAAAGCTGTTGGTTTGACTTTAATGTTTTTGAAAACAAAGTTTTACCCATGAGCATATTATTCGAGAGTACTTTGATGAGTTCATTCGATTTTAACAAGAAATATTTGAACCGAATACCAATTTAGTTTTTCAGAGTATAAACTGACTGACAGATTATTATAAATATCACTTATTTCCTAGATTTTCTTTTACTATTTCGTTTTATGCGTAGTTCAATGCCATTTTAATTCTATATACTTATATAAAACAATATTTATGTTGTGTATCTTTTAGTTTTAATTCATTATTTCATGTAAAAAACTTGTTATTATCTGATCTTAATAGAAATAAATCAAATGAACAATGGAAACAAGAATGATAATTAATACAGAGTTATACAATTCAATATATTCGAAAAATTAGAAACACCAATCGGTTTCGTTTGGCTTTCAGATATTTCAAGATAATACTGTACTTTTCATATTCATAACGATAATCATTCATATTATGAACTATGGTTTAGACAAAAAGAATGTAAATAGAACAAATAGTTTAGGATAATAATGCAGTTTAGTATAATTTTACAGGCAATCTGGAACTTTCGATCTTGTTTTTACTGAGTACAGTTATCATCGCTAACACTAAAGACTTATCGCAGAGTTTCATTTATACAGCATTTAGAATTAAATCTATTGGTCTATGCGTATATTAATAGGATATTTTTTTTTTGCTATTTGAATTATTATTAATTGTTATTATTTGTTATGTGACAAAGAGTTCATGATCCAAATGAATTGCAAAATAATTCAAAATGTCTATTTTATAGAAGAGATTTATTTTAAAAATCGACTAAAAACTACTAGGGTAGTTCTCAAAATCTGAAGTTCTAGAATGTTTTAAATGCAAACTCATGATACCAGCCAAAAATCTTTAAGTCTTTCAAAGTTTTGAAGTCAGTCAGAGTCGTAAATTCACAAAGCTTTTATATTTATTGAATTTAACGCTTTTATTGGTATATTTTCTTTTGCAATCGAAAGATTCTCAGTATTTTTAAAGTCAGAGTTTCGGAAATAGTAATGTGCAAGTCTTTTGAATCTGTAGTGTTGAAATCAGTTAGCGTCTTTATGTTATAGATGTTTTATAAATGTCAATGTTAGTTTTTTTGTATCTAGTCAAAGTTTTGAACTCTTTGATTTAATTACTAGTCTAGTTTAAAATAGATCATTTTTCAACAAAATGAAGTTTAAAAGAACTCTAAATATGAAAAAAAAACTAGATTTTGAACAATTCTCACTACTATCGGAAATAAACTATAGACACATAAGTGAAAAAGTCTTTCATTTCTTTTCCATAAAGAAACACATACTTAATATAACAATATTTTGTTATTTAACTGATGAAGAATTGAAACACATTAAATATCGATAGATTTTTCTAATCATTGAATTAACTGTTAATGTTCTTTTCATAGAATCTTTCTATTACTTATATAAATATTTTTTACTGAGTCATGTCCTTACACGTAATGATGAAATTTCTAAACTAATATAATAAGACACGTGTATCCCATAAGAACATAAAAAATTTGCTTGCAATTTTTTTTTCAAAAATGGAGACTGACATACAAAATGAGAATTGTTTAACAGTATTGGAAAGTTTTCCTAATGAATTATTCGTTCAAATCTTCTCTTATTTAACTTCTGTTGATACAATTATTGCATTTTCAAATCTAAACAATCGCTTTCAATGTTTAGTTTTTACATATTGTCAAACATTTGATTTGATATCAATAAACAAGAAGAAGTGCGATTTTATTTTTCAATTTTATGAGACAAATCAATGGAAATCATTACGCATACCTAATAACGATCAAAGACCATTTTGGATTGATTATTTTATGGAAAATTATTTTTCTATCAAGAATTTTTCTCAACTACAAACATTATCTATGGGACAACTGAACGATAGAACTCAACAGTTATTCTTTTCTCTACTTCCATCTTTAACAAATTTGATTTCTTTATCAATTGATTCTCTATGTGGAAAAGATATATTACCATTTGATTTACCAAAACTTCAAAAATTAATTTTTGGTTCATGTGAAAATATAGATTGGATTAAAGTATGAGAAAAACAAATCTTTCTTTTTAGTAAATCTTTTTTCTTTCTTATCTATTTAGAACTTTTCTCGAATTGAAACAATCGAATATACAATAAATCATTTTTGTGAAAAGAAAAATAAATTAATATGGCCATTAATAATAAAGAATCTAAAAATTGTTTTTTTGGTTGATACTGATTATTCATTAATATTAGATTCTCTTGTTCATTTATCTCAATTAATTACTCTTGAAATTTATGAAATGCGAGTAGGAAAAGTACCGTTGAACGGTCAAAGATGGGAAGATCTCATTCGTTCATCATTTCCATTATTAAAAACATTTAAATTTTATTTTATATTTCGTTCATTGACATCACAAAAATTGAAACGACTAGTAGCCTCATATTCAACACCATTCTATATTAAAGAAAAGCAATGGTTTGTTTATTGTAATATCTTTGCTAATTCTAAGAATAATCGATATGGAAAACTTAGCATATTTTACACATTACCATATCCTATGAAAACATTGACAATTTATAAAAATTCTTTTAAGAAAACCATTTCAAATTTATCGATTAATAATCATTTGAATATCTATACAAATATTAAAACGTTAATATTTGAAAATTATATCAAACCGAATCATGACTTCAATAAAACTAAAATAATCAATTTAGTAATTAATACTCAATTCGAATCTATTTATTGGTTACATGCATTAACTAAATTAGAGCAATTACATATTGATCATTTTGGATTTATCTCTATGGAACAATTTCAAATTCTATTAGATAATACACCTTATTTATATTCATTATCTTTGAGAAAAAGTCAATTGATAAAATTGACAGATAACTGGAATGATGTTCATATATGTAATCATTTGTCACAAAAGATTCGTGTTTTAAAATTACATTCATATAAAAATCCACTAGAATGTCTGAATAGACATGAACTTGAACGAATACTGTCGATTTTCGAAACCAAATGTGAATATTTATCATTGGGTCTTCAAACCACAACTAATACAATCGATTATACTTTATCACGAATGTCTGCATTGAATTATTTACATATATTTGTTCGAGAAAAATTTCGCTTACCAATAACAAAAACACTAACAATGGAATGGTTAGAAAAACAACAAGCTCAATTTAATAATTCAAATTGCATTATCATCAACAATATACATGGAAATTATTTTTGGTTATAATGATAATTATGATCGAACAAAAATGTTTCAAAAATCAACAAATGATATTCATTCTTCATTTTTCTCTGGTCATTGTTGAAAAAAACTGTGATTTTTGTTGTTAATATGAATCAAATACTGTAAGAGATATATTATGTATAATATCATAATCATATTAAAAGTTAGATAAACCTGTGCGAAGATACGTAAAAGAAATGTATCACACGAACGTAAAATAATAACTATCGTCTATTACGAAGTTTCTAATTGGATCAATCAAAGAGAAGGAACATGCAAATTTTATCTTACACTTTTAGAAAGTATAACAACGTCTTCAGATATTTTATAGAACAAAAACCTAGTTTCAAAGATTGAAATTTTTGAAAAGACCTCGAAAATTCAGTTTTTGAGATGTTCTTCGTGTTTCAACTTTTTCCCAGCGAAGACTCGATAAAAAAATTTTTTGAAGCTGGTGTTCATGATCAGTTCGACAAGATCTAGTTTTGAGCATAAAGTACCGATAAAAGTTTACTCGAGGAAGAAGTCATGCATAAGATTTTATAGAACGGAATTTTCCCTAGCGATTGAGTTATAATTCCAATAGATTCTAATGAGTAATCATGGAGAAATTAATAAAATACTGGCGTACAAAGTTTAACTAGAGAAAGAGGGTTTCATTCATAGAGACCCTTTCAGTGTTTACTTCGTAACTTTTCATAGATTTTTCAAAATAAGATGAACATTTAAATTTAGAGGCTTCCAATGGTGCTCTTTTGTTTGAAATAAAAAAATATAGGCCTAAAATTTTTCACAGTATGGTTCTGCTAGCCAATATTCGATGTTCTCAGGGACTCTCTTAAATGTAATACTCACGCTGAATAACAAACAGACAGAATCAGAAAAAGAAATCGAAACAGCTATATAATGGACGATGCATGCAAGAGAGCAGAAAGAAAAATGTGTGAACGTCAATGTTGCTTTCATTTGTTCTCCATAGCAACCTAATAAATAGTAAAAGAAAAAACGTGTTGCTGTGCAATAACGAAAGAGGAAAAACATTGTGAAAAAACGTAGAGACCTGTAAAAAAAAGCTATTTTTTATCAATAGTTTTCTAAAACAATTAAAATTCACAACATTCACGTTACAAACAATAAACAAAGAGAAATCAATGGCAACTGACAAACTGGATAGCTCCATAAAAATTGACCAAACACTTGACGTTTCGAGAGATGCTACTCAGAGACGACATGTCAATATCCAAAAAGTACAAAATGCTCTTCTGATCTGGTTGGACAATAATATTGACAGCAACAGCAAAGATTATCAAAACACAATCATACAACTTCGACGTGCTATTAACAACATTAGTACTTTTACGGATAGTGATCAATGCATTGAATTTATTCAAACAATTAACGACAACAAGGTATGCATGATCATGCCAGGATTTCTTGGGCAACATACTGTACCATGTGTGCACAATATGTCCCAAGTGGATTCTATTTTTATCTTTTGTGGCAACAAAAAACGTCATGAACAATGGATCAGAGATTGGCCCAAGATCAAGGGCGTCTTTACAGAAATAGCATCTATCTGTGAAGCGCTCAAACAAGCCGTTCATCAATGTGAGCAAAATGCTATGCCACTTACTTTTATGCCATCTAACAAGAAGTTAGATCAATTAGATCCATCTTTTATGTACACGCGAATTCTCAAGGATATACTCATAAATATGGACTTCGAAGAAAAACATATTAAAGAATACATTGATTATTGTCATGATGTTTTTGCTGACAACAAAGAAGAACTGATTCATATAGAATTACTAGAACGTCAGTATAGTAGCAAAACACCCATATGGTGGTATACCTATCAGTGCTTCCTGTATCCTATGCTCAATCGTGCATTACGACTGATCGATGGAGATATTATTATACGAATGGGCTTCTTTATTAAAGATCTCCATCAACACATCGACAAACTACATGCGAAACAATTTGGTGACCAATATTCTACTGCATCTTTTA